GGGACTGTCAGTCTCACAGTAAATCATCCCCAATCATCCTTTATTGTCCTCTGAGCACTAGCGGAGGCCAGAATGTACAAAACAAACATCCAGTTGGATTCAGTAAGACTGTAAACTGGCGACTGAGACTGTAAACTCATCAGGAAAGTGTTTACAGCATTACCCTGCTGGCCGGCCTCATTTTCTTTCTTGTCTGTAGTGTATACCTCAGATTCAGACTGTCCTGCCATAGCCATTGTTATACTGGATACCACGTATAACTATAACCATGTAATAACTGAAATGGCGCAAATGGAAATGAAGAAATGTACAGATAAACCCTGAACAAGGGGAGCCTATAGAGAATTTATAGAGCTGATCTTGTTTGGCACCACAGTGCATTTAGGTCATAATTCTGCTGGACACGTTTGTTTGTTTGTTTGCTGGATTGTTCCCACATTCATGAAATCGTTTCATTATTAGCCACAGATGCTAGCTGTTCGTAGAGTAGGGCTGCATGTGTTTGTTGATGTTGGGGATCACCAATGCTCAAGGTTACTGATGATGGCTCATTTTGTTTTTACTCATTTTTGGCTCATATCCTCATTCATGCATCAAATTAAGATTATTAATACTATGAGATTGATACTGAATTGCCTCACTGTAGTCTCAGATAATTGACACTTTCAGCTCAATCAAATTCATGCTCAAACATCTGCATGCTATGAAATGTACAGGTGTGTTTGGGGGGTGGGGACAAGGTGAATGCAGTTATAGTACACTTTGATTCAAAATTCAGGCCAGCAGTCAGAAATGAGTCTATGTTCTCTGATTTGATGATGGATCACTGTATTCTATATACATACACACATATATTATTGCGTTATATGGTTACATGTGAAGATGCAACATAAAGGTGTAATGAAGCAGCTTTGACTTTACTGTGAATCTCATAATGTGAATTTAGCAGGGATAGCTCAGTAGGTAGAGTGGTGGCCCCATGATAAGAAGGTCGGGGGTTCAAATCCACTGAACGGCTACCCTGAGGGTACCCCTGAGCAAGGTACTGTCCCTACACACTGCTCCCCAGGTGTCCAGTGGCAGCCCACTGCTTCACTGAGTGAATGGGTTAAATGCAGAGAGGAATTTCCCCACGGGGATCAATAAAGTATACATTATTATTAGTAGTGCATTAATTAGCAAATTAAATGGATCGTGGATCCTTGACATTGTTGTCCATTAGCATAAACTTAATGGTTATGGTCCACACATGTGCATTATGGAAGGCTAAAAGTACAATCCTAATGTATGAGCCTGGAGGGTTAACTGGGGAAGTGATTACACTGTGGAGCTGAAAGCTTAACGAAAAGGTGCAAGTTCATGTAAAATTATTATTGGTCACTTTATTTTCTTGAACCGATAAAATAAATGGCACAATATATACTTGTGTGGCCAATGCAGTACAAGTGACACCTGGATATCACCTTGACTTCTGAAGGGATAAGTTGTTTTTATTCAGATAACTAAGTGCTCTGATTAGAGTCAGATTCCCACCCACTGCCAAATGTAGTTTGGATCTGATTCCATGTCTTTGGCATTTTTAACATTTACTGTCTTCCAGTCTTTTTATATTCTTCAGTGTCTCTGCCTGTTTTACCTCTTTGTATGTGAGGAAGAAGAATCACATGCTCCTGTTCATTGTTGTGTTTGTGTTTGGCGCACAGCTCTCCTTCTTAAGTGACCTCCACAACAGTCATTCGTCCTCGTATCTTTTCAAGTGTCCTGCTGTTGATTTATCCTGTCACGGAGGCTTCAGTGACCTCACGCGTTATGCATTTGGTTTAAAAAGGGAAAAAAAAAAAAATCCTCCTTCAGCTGCTGTCAGCTGATGATGAAAAGAAAACAAGCAGCTCGCAGCATTTATCTCTGCAGCTTTAGTCTCTGAGGTGGAAGTTGGGCTGTAATGGAAACCCCACCTGCTTCGCAGACTTGGAGCATGACACATCTGTTTTACAACAACTGCTCTCAGATCTGCGTCTCCTTTAACCTCTCAGCTGCTGCTGTTGCTCAGAGTTTATCCTGTGAATCACAGCCTCGCCCTCCATCAGGCTTCTCCAACAGTCTAGTAAGGCCTGAGCCCCAGGGAAAGCACATACCAACACCTCAGCAGGCCGATGGACGCTTTCCTGGCAGGCAGTGATTCTGCTGCATGAGACAGCAAAACAACAAAAGAGAAAGTTTTAAACACCTTGTCACAAATCAGGTTTCCTGCTCAGTTTTTCTCCCAGTGTTGAGTCTGGATGAGCAGAGCAAAGACGGTGTGTTCACCATGATATACGGAGAAGAACCTGTTGAAGGTCAACTTGGCTGACATAGACAGTGCTGTGCTATGATTTATGAAAACTGACTAGTGTGGTGTGTGTCATCAACATATAGAAAAT